CCCACTGACCCATCCATCCATCCCCCCATCTATCCATGCATCCACCACTTACTCGTCCATCCACCCATCCATCCATCTGCTCATCCATCCATCCACCCGCCCACCCATCCTTCACTGTGTGTTTATTGAGCTCCACCTGTATATGGTCTCATCGTGCTGTGTGCTGGGAATGCAGGACTGAAGAAGACAGACTCAGTCCCCGCCCTTTTGTTATCTACTCTGTAATTAGAGACACAATCAGTTAAGCAAGTAGAGGACTTTGAATACAGATCTGAATGAAAAGGAGGAAGGGGAATGACAGGGCTGTCTGAGAAGCCTGCAGAGCCAGGCAATGCTGTTGTCCCAAGAGTGAGCCTTGGGTTCAGACTCTCGTGGAGTAAAGAGCCCGGCCACTCAATGTCCAGGGCACAGATGAACTTCGATGAAGCTAGTGTAAAGGCCCTGTGGTGGAGCCAGTGATGATGAGACATCCCAGAAATACTGCTGAAGTGACAAGTCACAGGCTTGATGAATCAAGGGAGAAAGAGAAAAGACCAGTATGAAGCAGATTCAGTCAACGACAGTGCAAACCCTGACTCAGGAAGAGGAAATCAGGCAATGTGGTATTTTTAAATGCGCTCCATTTCTCTTTCCAGTACTGGAGGCATGAATCCAAGGCCTCACAGGCACTAGTGAAGTGCTCCCCAAAAGGACCCACCCCAGCCCCTCACTGGGATTCCAGGAGGGGCTCCACCCTGACCACGCCCCAGCCCCCCAGTAGTGGATTCTAGGTGGATCTTCACCCCGAGAAGTACTCTCAGGACACAGAATACACTCCTATGATGTTTCAATTGTATCATGGGGAGAGTTGTGTCGTGGATGGGGGAGTCTCTTTTCCCCTTCCATCTCTGTCCAGACTTTGAACTCAGGTCGCAGGCAGCAGGCCCCCCTCCCTCTGAGCTATCTCACCTCCCTCGAGAAACTGAATCCTTCATTCAAAGCCTTCCGGGGCCAGATGGGTTCTTTATCAAAGTGACCAAACATTTCAAGATGAGGTAGGGTGCCAGGATGGCTGAGTGGTCTAAGCCGAGAGCAAAAGGCAGTTCTCTGTGTGGAGCCAGGAAGCTGACGCCTGAGTGGAGCATTGTGAGGGAGAGCTGTAGAGGCTCCCGTCTGAGGCGTGAGGCTGGGTGGATGTGGCTCTGTGCCATACCCGGATTATTAAAGGGAAAGGAAAACTCCCTTTCAGAAACAGAAATTAAATGGCACTTACTGAGCACTAACTTTTATTTTCTTTGGTGATGATGATATATTATTATTATTATTATTATTATTATTATTATTATTATTATTTAGACTAGGTCTCAATATGTAGCTCAGGGTGGCTTTGAACTCAATGGCTATCTTGACTTTTCAGTCAACCAAGTGCTAGGATTACATTTGTGTACTACCATGCCTGGCTTTTTATTTTTCAAAACAGGGTGTCATGTAGCCCAGGCTAGCCTCAAACTCCTTCTGTAGCTCAGGATGACGTGGAACTCCTGGTCCTCCTGCCTCCACCTCCCGAGTGCTGGGTGGGCGACAGAAGTGCACGTCCCATGTCTGGCTCATATGGCCCTGGGATGGAACCCTGGGATGGAACCCGGGGTCCCCCAGTGCTTGGGGATTGTGCTGCCAGCTGAGCCGCAGGCCCTGCTCTGCCCCTCCCCCCTTTTATTGACTTCTGAGGCAGCGTCTCACTTGGCCCAGGCTGGCCTCTAATTCACAATCCTCCTGCCTCAGCGTCCTGAGTACTAGGATGGTAAGCACAAAGTGGTTTGGACGGTTTAAGAATTCAGTGTTGATGAATGAATGAGTGAGTGAGTGAGTGAGTGACTGACTGACTGACTGACCCAGTCAGTCCACTGATGTACATAAGCCCAGAACCCAGTCCTTGGTGGCCATGACCCGATGACAGGCGGCTTGGATCCCTGGCTCAGGCAGCTGGAGAAGAGCCTCGGCCCCTCCCTGGGCCAGGCTGGGCAGCAGCTCTCACCCCATTCCCTTCCCGTGACACACGCGGGGGGCAGCGCCCGCCGCCGCCCGGGCCACCTCCCGGCAGCCGGATGCCGGCTCAACCTTGACTCCTTGCTCTTCCCATCCGGAAAACGGGTCTGCTAGCGAGCGAGCGAGCGAGCCTGCCGGCTGTGGCTGTGCCTTCCCGGCGGTCACTCTGTCTGGTCCCCTAGGCCGCCCACACTCACCCAGCAGCAGGAGTTTCAGTTCCCCGCGCTCCTGTTTCTTCTGTTCCAACAAAATCTTGTTGATCTCCTGGTCGATTCTGGCCGCCGTCTTCTCCTCGTCCGTCAGACACCAGGGGCAGCAGCCCCGGGTCAGGGACCGGGCCATGGCGGGCGCCTCACAGGCCACCAGGTGACATCGCCCCTCGGCCTGCACAGCCGCAGAGTGGATGTGGGGGTCACTCCAGGGCCCCCCCGATGTCCCTGCCTCGGGCCTGCGGGAGCCCAGGCAAGGCCCGTGAGAGGCCTGGGTGCTGGGAGCAGGGCGGGGATCTGGGTGCCGGCTCCCGCCCCCTCCAACCTGCCCAGACCTGGCCCTGCCCGCCCGACAGGTCGGTGGCAGAGGCTCCGGCGGATGCGGAGGGAGGGGTGGCCGCCGCCCGCAGAGCCCGGGCCTCCTTCCTCCTTCCCAAGGAGGGTGGCCTCGCCCCCGGGGCTCTGACGCTGCTGGCCCCAGCTGGCCCCCTCCCCTGGGCCAAGTAGGAAGCTGCCAGTGGGCACAGCTGTTGCTCAGGGCTGATTTCGGAACCTCTGAGACAGGGGGAAGTCTGCGCTTCCGCGTCTGCCCGGCCCGGCACACACACCGACTTGGTAATTGAGGAAACTGAGGCACGGCGTAAAGGCAGGGCTTGCCCCAGGACCGAGAGGGAGACAGGGTAGCTCGTGCCTGGCCCCTTGGGTCCCGGGGAGAGGGACTGATGCTCGCATCTATGGAGCATCTACTGTATACCGGGGAGAAGGACTGATGCTCGCATCTATGGAGCATCTACTGTATACCGGGGAGAAGGACTGATGCTCATCTACTGTATACCGGGGAGAAGGACTGATGCTCATCTACTGTATACCGGGGAGAAGGACTGATGCTCGCATCTATGGAGCATCTACTGTATACCGGGGAGAGGGACTGATGCTCATCTACTGTACACCTGGAAGAGTTTCATTTTCCTCCATGTGGGACCAAACAGAACATTTTTGTAAACCTGGGGATGACAGTGAGATTGGGGGTGGGGGAGTTTATGGCCCCCAGCCTGACCTGCGTCATCCCTGGGGCTCATGCTGTGGGAGGGGAGAACCGATTCTGCAGATTGCCCTCTGACTTCCCGCCTAAAACCCAAACCAAACAAAACAGTAAAACTTTCAGGCTGCCACAGATGGTGACGAATTTTAAGACAAAAGTAAAGCGCAGACGTTGAAGGACTTGGGTGTGTGTGTGGCTCTAAACAGGGGGTCAGGAGAGGGTCAGAGTGCAGGCCACAGGAACAGACTGGGTCTAATCTCTGGGCTGGTCCCCGACTCCCGGAACTAAAACTTCTAGACCATCTGCCTGAGATATGTCTGACCTCACCCACCCCCAGATCACTCAGCCAGGGCGCTCCTTGACTTGCCGCTGAGGTTCAGAGAGGGTGTGCGACATCCCCGGAACACACAGCCCCCCCCCCACCGCCCTAGGTCGGCAGGCAGGCGGTTGACAGGCCCCCGCCTGCCCCACGCTGACTTCGGTTGACTGTTGATTCAAACTGCAGCAGATGGGAAGTGTGATAGGGGCCCGGCTAGGTCACCGAGGCCAGGGGGAGCAGTCCCGCCCACTGGTGACTCGGAAGACCCTGAGACTTGCTCTGGGGGTGCATGGGGGGGTATGGGGGTCGTCAGAACCGGCCTGGTCTTGCAGAAGTCGGAGAGACAGACCCTGCCTGGCCCGTTGGGAACCAGACACCAGGCTCTCAGGACAGGTGGGGACCAAAGCCTCACTCTGATACTTTGTGGCCCCCCTGTTGCCCTCTGGGGGTTCTGGCAGCTGGATCCTGTGACTTCCGGGCCAGCCTGTGCTACACAGTGAGACCCTGTTTCAAACTTTATGGGGTTTTGTTTTGTCAAACTGACAAACTCCGGTCAGTTTCCTGTACCTCCTGGAAACACGGTATCAACTATGAACAGGAACGTTTTCTTTGTTTCTTTCCAACGGAATGGGCTTTTTTCTTAAATTTTAAAGTTACATTGTGTATTTACTGTGTGTGGTTGCATTTGACAGGACGCAGGTGTGGAGGTCCCGGGACACCTTGTGAGAGTCGTTTCTCTCCTTCCAGCACCCGGGTTCCAAGGATCAGACTCGGGTGGTCAGGCTTGGCTTCAAGCTCCTTTACCTCCTGAGCTCTCTCGCCGGTCCGACATTTTTCCTTTAAGAAACAAAAACGGGGCCTGGTAGCGCAAGTCTTTAATCCCAGCACTTGGGAGGCAGAGGCAGGCGGACTCTGTGAGTTCGAGGCCAGCCTGGGCTACAGAGCCAGGTCAGCCAGGGCTGCACAGAGAAACCCTGTCTGGAAAAACCAAAAGGGGTGGGGGAAATGTTGACATCTCTTTGGTGTGCATGGACGCTTCGGGGCCTGTGCGTCTGTGACCTCAGACACCAGAAGGGGGCGTTGGGTCCCCTGGAACGGGAGGCCAGGTGTGGGTGCTGGGATCAAACCCCCGTCCTCTGGAAGCACAGCCAGTTCTCGGGGCCGCTCCCTCCAGCCCTGACGGACCGCATGGCTGGGGCCGCAGACGTCCGGATCTCCTCGCCGCTGTGCCTGGACGGCGGGCGTCATCTGGCGACACCTGCTGGACGCTGGCGGAATGACAGGCACCTGCTCTGCCGACCTGGAGGAGTAGCCGTGCTTTCGATCACTTGTCACCTCCATCCGGTCCCCACCTGGCTCTGACCGTCAGGTCCGTGACCCGGCAGCAGCCGCTCCTGCAGCCCACAGGCCTGCCCGCCCAGCATGGCGCTCCTCCCTCTCCCTGCTCCAGCCACACAGGCCTCCTCCATACTCCAGCATGCTGGGCTCCATACTGTCCCTGGGCCTTTGCAGGCCGCGTCCCCCGTCCGGGGCCTTTGCATACCGTGTCCCCCCCTCCCCCCCGCCCTGGACCGTTGCGCGGTCTAGTCCTCTCTGGGACTGCTTTTCTCTAATAACAGCACGGCTCTTTCACCTCCCAGGATCCACTCAAGTGCCACACTATCCTGACTTGTCTGTTGCTGTGATAAATGCGGTGACCAAAAGCAATTTATGGCCGAAAGTTTATTTCATTTGTCTTATAGTTCCAGAGGGTTAGAATCCATCATGGTGGGGGTGGCCGGTGACATTCATCACACACTAGGAAAACAGAGAGAGCAAGCCCCCCACCCCCACCTCAGGCTGGACCTGCTAAAGGCCATCCTCTCCTTGAGTAGCACTGGCTGGGTACCTGAGCCCACGAGGACGTTTCTCACCCAAACCACTACAGCCACCTTCCCAGGAAAAGCTGTGCTGGGGCCAGCGAGAGGGTTCAGTGGACAAAGGAGATTGCCCCCAAACCTGAGGATGTCAGTTCAGTCCCCAGAACCCACATGGTAGAAAGAGAACCCACTCCTGCAGGTTGTCCTCTGACCTCCACCATCCTGGGTCGTTTCCTGTCACCTTGACACAAGCTGGAGGCATCAGAGGAAGGAGCCTCAGCTGAGGAAACGCCTCCATGAGATCCACGGTAAGGCTTTCTCTCAGTCAGTGATCAATGGGGGAGGGCCCAGGCGGGGCCACCCCTGGGCTGTGGTCCTGGGTTCCGTAAGAAAGCAGGCTGAGACATGGGAACAAGCAGTCAGCAGCTCCCTCCATGGCCTCTGCATCAGCTCCTGCTCCGGGGTCCTGCCCTGCTTGAGTTCCTGTCCTGACTCCTTCAGTGACGAACAGTGATGTGGAAGTGTGAGCCGGACAAACCCTTGCCTCCCCGACTCCCTTTAGGTCATGGTGTTTCATCACAGCAATAGTGACCCTAAGACACTCTAGTAAGTGAAAAGGAAATTTTTTTCTGAATGACTGGTGTATCGGAAGCCCATCTCACCCCCCACCTGGCTCCATCTTATTTTTTCCTTTCCAGTGGAAGCTGTGTTATCATTGGAACTGCCCTGCTGGGCACGCAGGACCCTGAGGTTGCCTGAATGGGTGAGGAGAGCCTGGAACCTTCTTGCACAGCTGGTAGGGCTGTGATACCGCACAGACACCACCTCGGGGAAACAGCCAGGGAACCGACAGCCAAAGGCTGAGGACACAGGGGCACATCCAGGTGCTTGTTAGCCGGATTCACAGCAGCCAAGAACTGGAAGCCATCCTGCTACCACACAGATGAGGAGGATGAGGAGACACAGGACACGATCCACCCGCGGATGGAAGGAATACTACTCAGCTACAAAAAGGAGAAAGGCCTTCGGAACCCTGCTCCATCATGGGTGGTCCTGGAGGATACGGGCCTGTGTCGCCACACCCGGGAGACTGGAGGCGCGGAGGATGGGTCCAGGGGCTGGGCGGTTCTGAAGGCCGGGGCTGGGGACAGCCGCACCGAGGTGGGATGAGCTTCATGCCACTGAACAGTTTAAAAAGTGTTTGTGTGTCCCACGCGCCTTTGGAGGCCTTGATTGCTTCTGCCGTGGTTTCTAGACAGACACTCTGAACTTCACACAGCTCATGGACAGGCTGCCAACAAGCTCCAGGATCCACTTGATCCCGTGCTGGGGCACAGACGCACCCACCGGGCCAGCCCAGCAGGACAGGACTAAACTCAGGTCCTCCTGTTTGGGTGGCAAGGACCCTACCCAGCCAGCCATCTCTCCAGATAGGCATTTTTTTTTTTTTAGAAATGGTGGTGGGCCAGGTGATGGTGGCGCACGCCTTTAATCCCAGCACTCAGGAGGCAGAGCCAGGCAGACCTCTGAGTTTGAGGCCAGCCTGGTCTACAGAGCAAGTTTCAGGACAGCCTGGGATACACAGAGAAACCCTGTCTGGAAAAAAAAAAAAAAAAAAAAAAAAAAAACTAAAAAAACAAAAAAACAAAAAAAAGAAGGAGGAGAAAGAAGAATCGGAAGAGGAAGAAGAAGAAGAGGAGGAGGAAGAAGAGGAAGAAGAAGGAGAAGAGGAGGAGGAAGAAGAGGAAGAAGAAGGAGAAGAGGAGGAGGAGGAGGAGAAGAAGAGGAAGAAGAAGAAGAAGAAGAAGAAGAAGAAGAAGAAGAAGAAGAAGAAGAAGAAGAAGAAGAAGAAGAAGAAAATGGTGGCCAAGGATAGAGAATCGTTGGCCCAACGCCCTGCAGCAGAGGAGAGGCTGGGGACCGACGGACCTCCCTGGTGAGGTCCTGGCAGTGGCTCTTCCATGAGGTCCCTTCTCTATTCCCGCTCAGTCCTCTCCAGGAGGGCAGTATGCTGGAAAGGATGCACCTCATGGTGGAGGGGAGACGCCGGGTGACCAGGTGATGTCTCACGACACCACAGATGAGCTTGCTCTGCCCCCACCGCCCCACCTGTCAATAACCCTGAAGGAGCCACACGTTTAGGAACAAAATTTATTCCGATTTAAAACAGAATTCAAGAGAAAGATATGAAAAGGTGG